TTAAATTAGAGGCTTATTGGAGCTAAGATGTGAATTAGAAAACTACACAATAGTTTTAAAGGAATTAACCAGAATGAAGCACAGAAAAGCAAAAAGAGGGAAAATATGAATGAATAGGTAGAGATTAGATGACAGTGTGAAAGTTGAACATAGGCTAGATCTATATTTCAGGTCATCTCTTGTTCTATAAAATGTGGACAACCAGATTCACAGATTGAATTTCCAAAATCCTGAAAGGATTTCCCTTCACCACACTTTTCAGAACTGTGCTTGTGCTAGACTGCAATGATCATTCCAGTATAAAATGCAGAGCCTTTCAGAAAATAGGCCCATATTTTTCAACTGAAAACACAAAATCCCCATGAAACCTTGGGTATGGTAAGGGTGGAAAAGTAGGAGCGGATACCACGGGACTTTGAAACTTGCTCTTAAAATTGAATTGTACCTTCTTCCAGCTGTGCATGAGTCTGGTCTTGGTTATACATTTCCCCTTTAATAACAGAATGCTTTGTGCATGTCCAGCTATACAGCTTTGCAGATCGGATAACACCAGGTTCTGAATGCCATGATGAGATATTCAGTAAACTGCCGAAGCAGCTTCTCAAAGGAAGAACAGTTGTTAGCAGGTAGAAGAGAGTATGGCTTTGCACCCAAACTCTACATCTGCCTGTGGGACAGGTCTCCAGGCAGCGTTAGACAAACCAAGTACCCCCCTGCCCACCTTTTTCACCTATAGTTCTCAAGAATAACTGTAGCATGTGCCAGAAATAGAACATCCTGGGATCAAGAGGAACTGGCCAGGACAGGTTGGGCTCTATTCCAGTCCCTCCTAGGAACAGGATGTCATGTTGCTACTCGGGTATGAAACCCAGGTTGGGCTGCTCTCTGGGGTACCTCAGCTACGGTGCAAGTGGGCAAGCACAGGTGAGATTCAATCCATCTTGAGCAGCTTTCCAGAGCCTTGGAGGACTGGCTCTCTTTGAATCCTAGGTCTCTGCTGTTCCTTGATGCCCGTCTATAATAAACTCTCTTCATGTGACTCATGTGTGTGAGTGTTCTGTCTCACCAGAATCAGGCAAGTAGTAAAATGCAGCCCAGGATGCAGTGGGCTGAGGTGGTGGCCACGGCACAGTGAACTTGCCTTGTGCTGCCTTGTGATTCTCTTATTGGGGAATGCCAGGGGCCCCACAGAGCATCCGTATTTGCCATAGACTCTTCAAGGACAACTGAGTCTGCCTGGTCTATGGACCAAGCAGCAGGAAGCTTTCATTACAGGCTTGTTCTGCTATAGACGGACCTTCTCCTGCACTGGACCCCACTTTGCAGAGTGCACCGTAAATGGAATAGAGTAGCACACTCAGATGCAGTATGTGCAACGCACAATTCAAAGTCCAAAGAGGACGAAGCATTGCACTTCGCTAAGCTTCACACCTCTTTCTCCATGGTGGATGTATAAGGTGCAGCAGCTTATTTCTCACTTTACAGGAGATATTCCAACAGGCCGCAGACCTCTGGACTACTACGAAGCTCACCAATGTGGCAGACCCCTGAACTTTGGCAGATTTTACGTTGGTCTGGCATGGATGTGATATATTGAGCCATCTAGAATACCTTATAATTCCTGGTTGCTAAGAACAATCAACATGTCATCAGTGTAATGGACCAGGATGGTTTCAAGATGACTAAGGTCCTTCCAAGATACATTATGAAAGAAAACAGGCTAAGTACAGCCTTGAGATAAAGGCTATTGCTGATTCTGCCACTTGAAGGCAAACTGTCTTTACTATTTCTGAGCACCCTTCTGGAAGAAATTTTCCCCTCAGCTTTCCAGGAGTCACTCTTCCTGTATGTGGATGGAACCCTCCAGCTAGTCCTACAGATTCTCTCCTCATCCCCAGTCTGCCCATTCACACCCTGCCCACTCACAAAACACACAAGCAGCTGTCTGTGCCCAAGAGCTGTGGTTTCCTCCCTCTGTCCCAACCTGGCAGGGTCCTCAGACTCTTCTGAGGTTGAGGAGGGAGGAGGGAACTGAGGTTCTTGCTCAGATCTTTGATCTGTGGCCAGCACTGTGTCTCCAGCGCTGCAGAGGTATAAGCTGCTGTCTTCGGGGCTCACGTTGCTCACGGTCATGTTTGAGAATGTAAGGTTTGGGCGGCTGATGGGAAACTTGTCCTTGGTAAATCTGTTCTCGTATGTCGCCTCAGAGCCCTGATTTGCAGTTGCCATCAGCATCAAGTTCTGTCCTGGAAGCTGACGGTACCAGAACATCAAGGAGACTTGGCTATCGACATGACACTGAATCGTCACCGAGGTTCCACGTTGACAGATGACCCTGCTTGGCGTTTGAGAGACGAGAACAGCAAGCACAGAGCCTAGTTCCAGAGAGATAGAGACCCATGAGGACTGACCAGCGTGGGGTCAGACACATGCCCAGGCAGGAACGTCTCTGCTTTCTTACACGAATATCGCCTTGGCTCCCAAAGGACCCCAGAGCACTGCCTCCTCTTTGTTTTGCCAACTGCTATTCTGTCAGGATCCTCTAATCCAACATCTCCCGCTCATCGGCTGCCTGGTTGCTTCGGACCCTCTGGAGAGAAAGTCTCCCCAGCTCTCCACTCAGCATTCACATTAACCCCAGACTCCCCACCAGACAAGGCTCCTACCTCGTCCCAGGAGAAGGAGCAGGAGAGTCCGCATCTTTAGTGATGGCCTCTCCCCTGAGAAAAGGCACTAAGACATCAACCTCAAGTTCCTCTTTCCTCCCCACAGTGTACTTCCTTCCCTTCCTGCTCTTCCCCTCCTCTAGCAGGAGGCTGAATTTCTGCAGAATATGAAAAAGTTAGTCTTCCCCCTAGTGGAACCGTGCGGCACTTCCCTGAGGATGGGCTGGCTCACAAGGCCTCCGCATGCACCTGCCCCCAGCCCAGCATTACCCACCACTTGCCCACCCGTCATGACCGAGCACCACGTGGGCTACTCTTGGGGTATACAAGCAAAACTGGGGTGCAGTACCGACTTCAAAGAACTAAAGGTAAAATTTTAGAATATAAGGACACAATGTCAACTGTCTACTGGGTCTTCATGGTTGTCCCAAGCTGAACTCATTGTCTCCCAACACACATACATCTATAAGCCAGCTCTTACTCTTCAATTCCCCTCTACCCAAAAATGTCATCTCCACCCTCCTTGCCATTTAGGCTCGGGAATTTAATAAGCCTGTCTTCTCACCTACGTCACTTATCAATTCACAAATCCAATGCATGATATATATGTATTATCTCTCACATCTCTTCCCTCATTTTTGTTATCACAGTCATAACTCTTTTATTTCTCTTGACTTAATCCCTGGGCACTTTTAATAAGGCTTCTTCTCTTCTAATTCAGCTCAATATTGCCTACGACACAGATCATCCCTCTGTAAAATTTGACCACAATACCAAGATCCTTTTCTATTACCAACTTATTTCTTACATTATGTAGCTACCACAACAGTTTACTTTTGCATAAAAGTGGAGCTAATTTTTTTTGATAACTTACTTTGTGCTTTGCATGTATTATTTCAGTCTATTTATGGGTTAGGCTATTTAGACTACTATTGTCACTCTATTTCTGCAGATTAGGAAATTTTACAGATAGGACCTAGAGATCTTAAATGACCTACCCAAGTTCACATAATCTAAGAGTAAATGACAGAGTCAGGACTCAAATCCATGCCTAGGTGATCCTGAAGTCCAAACGTTAACATTAATGCTATGAAGGGTTGCCTCACCTGTGTAGGAGCCTGTGCCTCAGTAGAGTAGAATCTGGTGGGTGACTGAGAACAATGCCCAACACCCTAAAGGAAACGAGGGACCTCTAGAAAGACAGCTTTGCAAAGCTAACCTATCTTATGTCTTTGATTCTGAGATTCCAGCTATTACAAGATGCACGATTAAATACGTAATTATTACCCTTGGGTGTTGGTTAATGCTACTACATTAAAGATGAACACTGATTATAGGACTTACCCATATTTCAAAAAAATAAAATCATAAAAAATAATTTATCTTGTAACAGAGGAAATGTGGCACATCAGGGATAACAATACTTCAGTAACCCTTTCACGGAGGGGTGTGAACCCTCCATCTATGGGGTGTGCCACAGGCAGTGGCTCAAGATAAACCCTGCTAAGTAGGATAACTGGTAAAAGGTACAGAATATTCCAATTTTCTCAATATGTAGGTAAATTTTAAAACCTTTTAGTCAAATATATCAAGCTTTCTGCCAGAATAACCCCAAATCTTTTTTCATTTCATTCGCCCTAAATCCTTCTGAAAATTACCAAATGATCCCTATTCTTCACAAAATTCCAAATTTTTGCTTCTTCATCAGTGTTTTATTTGTTCAAAACAACAGTGAAGATATTTCCCTCCCTTTTCATGCTTTTCAAACTTCAGTGGTCTCTTGTCATGTTATTCCTTTTCTTCATACTCTAGTAATTTTTGCATTGTGTCTTGGACATTGTCATATATATAGCTAGACTTTGTTTTATCCTTTTAAGGGTGGTTGGATTTTTGTTTTAGTAGGCATTTAATTTGGCTGGATTTAAACTTCAATTTTGTTTCCTACAGTGGGCAACAGCTGCGATCTCTGTTCTGTTCTTTCAGCTTAGCATGACTGATTGCAGTGTTCTCACATGCACAGTTCAGGTATCCGCCAGAGTTTTGGACAAAGTTTGTATGCAGAACCTTGGATTGCCCTTTTGTGGACTTCCCTTTTCTCAGATGTCTATCCTCACTCTGTAGCTAATTCTTCATGGATTTCTGTTTGACTGAGACCTACTTTCTAGCAAAAGGCAATAATAACAGAAAACTTACCTCTTTCATCCACGCGTTGACTTTCCTTTAGCTTCTGCCTGCTTTTGGTTGCTTTGCTGTGCCTTTAAGGTAGACTTTAAACATTTTTGTCCAGAGTTTATATTTGTTATTTGTGGGAGGATGAGTCTTACAGAAGTTACCATGCCATCACCAGAACTGCCTCATTCTTTTTAATGGCTGAAGATTTTTGTGTTTTGGTTCCTACTTATATTTGAAGCTTCTAAATGTCCTAGATTCTTTTTAATGAGACCACCTTCTTCAGGATGGATCTGGGGTTTGATAGACCATGTGAAGCAATGCTAGAATGGATAAATTACTCAAGTATATTATTTAGTGGATCTACAGTCCGTGTTTTGGCACTATTGGAAAATGCAACCCTGGAGTCCCCCTGTTTCAGTCTGGACTGGTTGCTAATTAGTTCTACTGCTGAGATATTATCCTGGGACTTTTCTTGGTTGTTATTGTGAATTAGAGTCCCTATTTCCTCGATCGCATGATTTCTTCTCTTTTTGCTTTGCTCTCTCAGTTTGCTGGAGCACATTACCCAGTAATTTCCTAAGGAAGGGTACAATGAAACTAAAGATTTATTTTTTCTATTCTCCAAGGACAGAAACAAGTATTTATATGATTATTATTTGGAATTTTTCTTTCTTTCCTTTATTATGTCTGCTTGCCTTAATTTCCTTGTGTTTTGGTGCCTATATATATCTGAAGCTTCTGAATGCTCTAGATTATTTTGTTCCCACTATTTCTTTTTCTTATTTATTTATCTTTCTTTCTTAACTATTAGGAACTTTGCTTATATTCTGGTATTTGTTTATTTGTTTTGTTTGTTTGTTTATTTATTTATTTTGAGAGGGAGTCTCACTCTGTTGCCTGGGCTGGAGTGCAGTGGTCCTGTCATAGCTCACTGCAGCCCCAAACTCCCGGGCTCAAGTGATCCTCCTGCCTCAGCCTCCCGAGTAACTGGGACTACAGGTGTAAAGCCCGGCTCACCTTATTCAGTTTTTACGAGCAAAGCACTGAAAACCTGACTGGAAGCCTGGTGACGTGGGTAGTACTTGTTTACTAGGAGATTTCACTTGGAGAGCTCGGGCAGGGAAACAGCCATTTTGTAAGGGACACTCAAATGTCAGTGTGTGTAAGTCTCTTTTCTGGGGATGTTCAACTTCTTCAAGTAAGAATATTTTATTACTCTACTGTGGGTGTAGTGTGTAGTCGTTGTTCGGTGCCAAAGGTGGTGGAGAGGTGTTGAGAGACAATTCTTCATGGGTCTCCAGCATTTCTGCACTTCTTATATTAACTTCTCTTTGGGGTTATCTTGTTGAAACTGTTTGTATAGTGATCGGCCCTGGAAGATAGAGATAGTCTCCCTTCTGGGTCAGAGAGAAGATTTGTTTGTTATCCAAGATAATAAAGATAATGTCTCCCTCTGGGTCAAAGGTTGACCAGGTTTGGCAGCAGCCTCTTTAAAAGACTAGAATTTCCTAAGCTCTTGGATCGTCAGGTGTGACGCAGACCCATTGCATGTGCAGCCTCCAGCAGCTGTTCCACATCACTGTTGGGAAACTGGGGTGGGCCAGATGGTAACTTATAGGAATGTGAAGCTCATGCTGCCTGCTG